AGTCCCTAAGCTTCTTAATTCAAACAAATCCATTCTCGGTGATGACGTAAGAAATATTATTATTGCGAAGAAAATTCCAAAGTCACCATCTGCAATTGACCATTGTTTGTGCATCGCAAAGGAATTGAACATTCCCTTAAAAATTTCCCGCTCTTTTCGTGTTAAATCTCCCTGGATTTTGAAAGACTGCTCTTTTGACATCTCACTGTCTATGCACAAGAAAGAAGATACTCCAAATTACGTCTTCAGGAATCTAATAGCTGAGAAAACCCAAGTATTGGACAATACTGGTTGGAATCTTTTGTACACAGACGGCTCAAAATCTCCTGGTCTGCCCCCTGCTTGTGCAGATGCTACAGGACGGGTTCTTCTCAACCACATATTTCACGAAAACACTTCAACTTTCATAACCGAAGCCAGAGCTATCCTTCACGCTGCCAACCTTGCCCATAAAAACAAACTCAAAACCGTCATTGTTACTGACAGTTTGTCTGTATTACTAGCTACCCGGAACCCTTCGACTTCGAGATGGAGCACCATCAACAAATTAAGGAATATAATTACTACACCCGACGGAAAAATTAAAATGTTATGGGTACCAAGTCACATCGGTTTACTGGGAAATGAGCAGGCTGATCGAGCGGCAAAGTATGCTGCTTCTGCTCCTCTAATTATGGATGATGTCATGGAAAAGTTGGATCTTCAAAGATACATTGGAAGAAAAGTTAAAAAGAAAATTGCAGAAGGAAATTTACAATACCATCATCAACACTACTCTTGCATTAACCCTCAATTAACTCCACCTCTATATCCAACAAATGTTGAGAAAACCAAGATCCAAACATTTTCGAGAATTCGCCTTGGTCATACAATTGCAACTCACCAATGGATCCTGAAGAAGTCTTCTCCCCCAATCTGCTGTTGTGGACAAACTCTTACTATAAAGCACATTCTCTGCGACTGCCTCAACTTTTCCTTGGCTAGAAGTATTGCATTTGGAACGATTAACCCTTTGAACAGTCTACAATCAACTTCAGAACAGAATATCAATTCAATATTTTACTTTATTAATATTACTAAGCTTATTATCTAATATCCATTTATTTAAATTAGAGCCGATAGCCTGTGTTGCTAGTGCTCAATGTCTCTTTTTTTAGTCTAAGAATTCAATTCATTAGTCTAAAATTAAAATAATAATAATAATAATAAAATATTTGCGAGCAACATTGTTGTCTCAGCCAGCCGATGTAATAAGTTTAAAACATTTTAATTACTATTGCTATTTACAATTGCTATTTAGTATGCGATATGCCTTTCGTCTTGCGCGCACACTACGTATCTTGGCTCCCCGTTGTAACGTTCTTTAATATCTTCGGTGTCTTTTAAGAATAATACGGGTTTCGTAATCAGTGATAACTTTTACATGAAAACCGTCGTTCAATGTGATTGTAATGAACTTAAAGTCAGTCATCTTAATTATAGAAGGATTATACCCTATTCAAATTGAAATTTCTTGATAAAATTGGAATGAGACAATGTGCTTGTTCTATTTGAAGCATTAGAGATGTGGCTTGATTACTTTTGTTAGTTTTGCTTTGTTTAGTTTTTTGTTTAAAATGCCTATTTCCTTTCAGTAGAGATCAGACGTTGGTTGATCATGGTTTAGCTTTTGCTACGATTTTATAATTTATATTTTGATCCTTTTATTTAATACTGGGAACGCATCATCATAACATAAGGTGACAATTTCATCTGCAACTGTTCAGCGGCTTTTTATAAGAACGGTATTCAAGCTATCCGCATCTAAACAAAAGTCCAAGCAGCCCGAGCCGCCCCATGTTGTGTAGCTTTAATGGAACAGTACCCTTTTCTGTTATCATCTTAGTCATGTGGATTCAATATTATCATCATCTATGCTCAACGACTCAATTAAGATATAAATAGTTATAGTAATATTCACTAAGCTTTTCAAATGAGTAAAAAATAAATTATACAACATTAGGAGAAGGATTGATAAGCACTGAAAACAAAAAATGCCGCATAATTATTATAATTGTTGGAATTTTCGTTTACATCCTAACCGTGCTTTGTGAAGTCGGTGCTTGCACATAAGTACATTATCTCGCACAGACTGTCGATACAATTTTCGATTAAAATAAACGAAATTTTTATAGTAACAATGCAATAATGGTTATTATCAAAGAAATTGATTGAGAAATAAATAAAATTTTACAATAACAATGCCGGCAATGCTTGCGTTTTAACCGATTCGACTCTGATTACTATGTTACTACCACTTGTAAATCTATTGGACATCACAATGCTAATATAATATTATATTATAAGAGCGTTTTGTAACGGATAGCAGGCACATTGCCTATTCTTGCCAACCTGGAAGAAATGCATCTCTCATCTCAGCTCTTCCAACTGTTACAACGCCGTTTCCCTCTGCACACTACTTATCATGAATTATTACGCAATTGGCTGAAATGTACGGAAAGAAATTAGTTAACAATTTCATTCATAGCAATGCGGAAGTATTAACCCGCCTCTATGATCCATAGAAATTGTTTTCAATGTTATGGAGTTAATGTATTGTAAATATTTATAGATCTTTTTATATACATTTAAATTTGCATTCAAGTGTTTATTGCTAACAATTATAGTTTATAACAACAAATGAAAATTTATTAAAGGATATATTTAAGAAGGCTGACAATTGTATTTGTAAACTTCAATACAATAAAATGCCGTTAATTTCAAGGTAGGAATGATCATAATTACTTAACAAATGGAGTAACTTTCATTAGTCTAGACTCTAGCATATATTAAGTTGCAATTTGTTGCCTCACCTACAGTATTTTTCGGAAGAAGCGCCTAGCTACTATTGTCTGTTTGTCAATCTCAAAAGGATGCTTCACGGAAAGAGCTTTAGATCAAACGAAGTCATATCATTTATTTACTATTCAAGAATTCAACATGCAGGCCCTCCAAGGGTCAGTTTACGTGTATCGCAACAAGTTTAGGACTCAGTAAATTTCGACATTTCAAAATTATCCCTCCAAAAGTATAGACTATTATCAAAACTACAAAATTCCAAACGCGATGTTAAAGTAGATGCAGAAGGCAGTTCTATATGACTAATTTCCTAATTGTACTTTACAAATTACAATTAGACTCCCCAGCCGTAAACTAAGAAATTCACTATATCAGAACAGTCATATTATAGACCGTGCCCCATGGTGGCCACGGTACCACGTAGCCACTCCAAATGTGGCAAATATCGCAATCGAACATCCAAACTTTAATAAGCTCAATGGAATGTCAACCCCGTTCACAGCTCATCGCATGATCATTCCGAAAACAAGGTTAGTGATGCTAGACAATAAGTGAATATCCTATTCGAAGGTGGAAAAATCCTGCAAAAGCTTAAACCGAAAAGCATTATTCGAGTAAGAAAATATACGTAGGTCACGTGACAGGTAATTCCAGCAAAGTGCATCTGGCGCAAGAAGGGACCTCTCAGTCTAACTGCATTTAATTAAAGCAATGATAATCTGCGAATTCCTAGTACAGCTCGTAAATACAAAAATAGAACATAAATTTAGAGGGAGGGCACACTTAACCCTGTAAAAGTGCACAGTGAGAAATGACCACATGTAAATTCCAAGAACCGCTTCGACATATGCGTCCAACCCGACCAAGCCTACAGAAAACATAAGCTGTGGTATCAGCTACCACTTCCAGGCTATAAAGGAAAATAAGTATTGAGTAAGGTGGCTGACGCAGTGAAACGCTAAAAACTTCCTAGTGGAAACACAATTGATAGCCGCGCTACCATATTGTTTTACAGGAAATGTAAACAAAAACATATGCTTTTAGAAAGAAAAACAAAGATAGTAGTAGAATTAAAAAATCATTGTGTCAATGTATCAACGAATATCTAAAAATATATGAAGTGAGCGCCCTTGTTTTCACAGCTGTTTCTATTGACGATTTCGCTTAGATAGTTTTCTCATACAGTTTACAAAGTGATCTTGTACATACGTACTTCTTGATCTGGCTCGCATAAGAAGTAATGCATTCATTTACCTTTTTTGTTATAGATTTTAAATTACAAAAAGCAAAATATTTTTCCGTCAATAATTTTGCAGAATTTTTTTGAGTGTCCATATAAGCTTTAAACTCTTCCTTTACTTTTTCTAAAATCTAAAATTGTTCTGAAAAATACCTCTACTTTTGCCTTTCTTTCAACACAGCTGATAAAAAGCGGCAAGCAACAACTGAATAGTATTGAGAAGTGTTAAAATTTTTTTAATAAATTTGTTTACAATAATATCAATCAAGAATGAACAAGAGACCTACACCAGGAATGAACAAGAAACCTACACCAAGAAATAAGAAGAATAAAATTGGCTAAAATTTCGTCATTGATAAGCAACTACACTCACGCTCGCATCGCATTACGTATAGAGTGCACGGATTAACGTGTCTAATTCACATACATATATTTATTTCTCTTTTCCGTTAAACAAAAGTGGCCCTTGTTGCAGGTAAAACGAAACGTGAAGGACTTTGGTATTTTGGTGGTCTGGTCAGCGGGCGCTGCTTGTTGTACCCATCCATTACATTTGATTAAAGTAACGCTTCAAACCCAGCAAGGCAAACTGTCTACCGTACCAATTACCATTAAAATTCTACGTGAACAAGGTATAACATTTTTTAAAACTTCAATTTTTATAATTTTTAACAATTTAAGGTAATTTTAATTTATTTTTTATTTTAAACCTTAAAAAAGGTATCTTCGCTTTATATAACGGTCTCTCGGCTTTAATATTGCGACAGGTACCCTATTCGTTAACACGTTTGTTGTTGCCTTAGTCTTGGCTAATTGATCTCATTGAAGTTTGAAATGAAAGAAGTATTTGTGCTATTAAATCAAAAAAAATTAAAAGTTACTATACAATAGAACAAATTGCAGTGCGAAAAATTTGCTTTCGATTTAAATAAGAGCAGCGAGATGTGAACATTTCGCGGCAATCTGCTATCGCACTTATTAATTAGTCAAATAGTTGCCAGATTTCAAAAAAGTAAAATAGAATAAAATATGGTGGCAATTAGGTGCGATTTAATAGCAAAATTTGTTACACTTTGCGAAGGAGCAAGCAACGCTTGCTTGTCCAAGGCGTCATTTTGAAAATCAGTAAATATTCAATTAACGAAATTTTTTGTTAAAAATCGTGAAATGGCTACGAATGGGTCAATAATAATAACTAATTATGGAAATGTAACTCGAACATGTAAACGTAAACGACAATTTGAAAAGCTTCCGCAAAAGGAACCAGCTCGGGATGAAAGGAAGAAAACCGAAGAGAAAGAAAGAGCAGCCGCTAACAACTCCTGCTTTACAAATGCAGCGTTCAGTTCAACACCTAAGAAAAATTTGCCGAAGAGACGAATAAATTTGCACGGAAACAAGAAGAGTGCGAATGGACAATGTGTTAAGAAGAATATTCAACAAAATATCAATACTGAAGATATATTCAACGAAAATCCTTACGAGGTTGTGAGGAGAATGCCTAAGAAAAAAAAACGTAAAACCGAAGAAAAAGTATGTTTTGAAAATCCAGCTTTAAATTTGGAACTACCAGAAAAACAATTTAATCCTTATGAGGTAATTATGCTGTAAAATAGAAATAAAAAATCTTCATTTCGTAATTATTCTTTACTTTGAAGGTGGTACGTATTAAAAAACTCAACGAAAACGTGAAAAATTGTTTCATAAATAATGCCTTGAATTTGAAAGTGCAAGATAAGTCTGTCTTAATTAATCCTTTCGAAATACAAAGAGTAAGGAGGGAAGAAGAACGCCAAGGACTTCAAATTGAGTCGCATAATTTAAAAATTGGTCTACCATTTAAGCCTAACATGGGATGTCGTATTGATTTCAAAGATTTATCTTTGTCTCAATTAACACCTAGCAAGTTATTGGCAGAGAAGCTAGTCTTCTCGCCCGTTGCAGCAAATAACAGATCTCTGACCGTCATTAATGAAGAATCTCCCACAGATATAAGTAACGAATTGGACTGTTATCAGTTGGTATTGGAAAATAGTATAAATGAGGCTAAGCTACGTAAGAACGGTGTACCTCAAAATTCAGAAAGGAAACTATTGCAAGAATTAAATGAAGTTGTAGAAGTCAATGAAAAGAAGATTAAAACCGCAATAGGAGAGTCATCAGCTAATTTAGTGCCTAAAGCCAATACAAATCCTTTCCTCAACGAAAAAGGAAAATTGGAAAATTTCCAATCGTGTCTAACTGCTCAGGATTTTGACGAATTATATGGTGCAATAGACAGTGATAAAGAGGAGAGTTTTGGTTTGAACCCACATACAGGTTTTGTGCGTAATTATCGGTCAAGTGATAAAAATAAATTAACAAATTGCAAGGAAAGCTTAGAAAAGAAGGAAGACAATGAAGGCTGTCCGAAACAGTCATTGAAAACTATACTACGTTCATCGATACGGAAGCTTGTGCACCACTCAACAACAGCAGCCAAGGAAAACCAAAAGCCCACTCATGGCTTAATTACTAGTATCAGAAGTAGCTTGAGACGTAAGAAAACACCAAGCGATTCACATATTAAAATGGTGCCCATGAAGGTAACAGAAACTTCAATTATTGACACCAATGAGCGTATAATGAAACTGAAAACGACTCTGCCTGGCACAGAGTATATGAAAATTGAGGACTTAACCAATGAACGTAAGCACGGCTTCCGTCACAGCATTAGAAATTCTGGATATAGCGGCGTGAAGCAGCAGTTAATGAGCCGAGTATTTAATAAAAAGCAAGCGGAATGCAATTTTATAAAATGAAAATCGAGTAATTAATACATTAGCACGCCTAGATTTGCTAATCGTCCCTCAACTATTTTGTTCGGACTCTTATTTTAATATAAAAGTACAGTAAGCTTTAATCCACCGCCACAGAATGATGGTACACCAGATTTGTCCTTCCGTTTTTAAGTACTTGATTTGGGGCCGGCTTATGGTTCCTGATATCGAATAAGGTCGACAGCTATTGGTTACGGACTGACTGTAACAAATAGAAAATTTAGAAATGCCGGCAAAATATACATTTTTGTTACCATCGAATGTAAAATCTTTTGACCGCCATTTTAAAAAAGACCCAAACTCACAAATCCAAATAACGATTTTAAATTTAAACGCTAACACTAGTGAGCGTGAAATTATTTGCAAGTAACTAAGAGAATAGGACAGATTGTTTACACATGTAAATGTAGACTTCCCGATAATTTTTGAATAATTATCTAAAAAGTAAGGTTTCGATAACCCCACTTTGGTTGTACCGTTGACCTACATGAATTCTTAACCGAATAGTTTAATATTATGCATAATGTGGTCTTGTAATGAAATTGTCGAGTGAAGCATCGCTGATTTTTTTGCAAGTATTGATGCAAAAAGAGTTTTGATTTTTGAGATCAATTTTTAAATATCAAAAAAAAAAAAAAAATTGGTAACTTGGATGATATTAATGGTATGGATGGTAATGGAAGACGTACTTCCGAAGAAGACGCATTAAAACTTTTAATAGTAACAATTGAAAGAAATAACTGTACTTTAACCATTAAATTCTTGAGCCAAACAAAGAATCTTCAAGCCCTTTGGTCGTCATTCGAACCATTCAAGTTGATAGAAAACAAGATAGCATTATAATTTAATACGAATTCTTACAAATTTTCTTAATTTAAATTGCAAATATTTAGCATTGTCATTTAAAAATGGCCGACCGGTCCGGTCCGTCCGCTAGTTGACAGTTAAGAAAGTTGATGTATATATTATTGATATATATATAGTTTATATATATATATATATGTATTAACTAGAGATGGTGGATAGTACGGATTCGTCGCTAGGCGAATAAAAGGTTTCTTATTTGTTTTTAATACAAATTTTTAAATGTTTATTATTAATGCACATTTCTTCTATGTTGACCTAAAAAAAGCACAATAAAGTTGAAAGGAGTTTCACAATTCAGCCTCCTTCGTTTTTACTAAGATCTATTTATATACACTATGAAGTAGAGGCCTTCTTCGATGTTCTACAGGCTTATAGGCATGTTGATAGACGCTGGCTAAACGCCAATGTTCGGGATAGCCTACCTCTTTGGCACCGCCACCAAAAGTTTTGAACGGCGGCACCAATGTACCTATGTTATAATTCCTTTTTGCGTAAGGCTCTCGGGGACGCGGAATCACCAAAACTTTCTGCGAATGGCGACTGCCCGAACTGCAACCACTATCACTACTAAGCATATCTCCGGCGGCATTGTAATGTGGTATACCAGCGCGAAAAGCTGCCTTGCAAGGAATTCGTCGCAAAGGGGGCTCACAGTGTTGATTACAACATGTCGGTGTGGGTCCAACTTTATGACAAAACCTAGAACGTGCTTTCGTTAAAAAATTGTTACGTTTACAGGCGGACTCTTTAGGTGCCTGGAGTATGTCAGACTCGTCTCCCAAGTATTTTTCACGCAACGCTTTATATTCCTGATCATTTAATATATTTGGAGTAGATTGATATTGTTTGTTATAACTATTCAAAGGCGTACCGTGGCGATCAATGTAGGCTGGATCGTCACGCGAAGCGCCTCGATAACGCGATATTGGACGGCATAGAGTTAACTGAGAATCCTCGTTCACAGAGGGATCTAGACGACGTCCCGAAAAGTCCAGCTTTCGTCTTAATAGATCTTTCTCGAAAAATCCCACCTCTCCCAGCGTGTTACTAAAAACCCCTTCCGAGCGACCAGTATTTTGCGGAGATCCTTCAGAAGGTGTTTTAACGCAAGTAAATACGGCCGGGCCAGCTGATTCGTTGGTGCCATCTATATGACGTGCAGGTAGGGGTTCTTGAGTTGGTTTATAATCCCAACAAATGGCCAAATCCATAGCACCTATTTTCTTCTTCTCAGCTCCTGTTGCCGAAAATGACCTCAAATTATCGTCCGCATTGCAAATCCGACTTTTCGGGCCGCTGGTTTTTGGACGATATATTTTCATTTTTGTGCAGTGCGTAGGACCGGCTTTGTAGGTTTTGACACCCACCCCCGTTGCTATAGGCGCCAAATCCAAATCGAGATTTGAACCATCCAACTGTAACTTACGAAAGGCGGCATCTGTTATGCAATCTGGTAATGGTTGATGATCTAAGTTATCCTGATGCATACGTTTGGCCAATTCGAAATTGGCATATGCCGGTACTACAGGGGAAGGGCAACGTTCATTAGGTTTTTCGGTAATTGAACGCGCCGCCGGCATTTTTTGTTTCCTTTCTTTATCCAAGAGGTCGTGAAGGTCGTCGTTACAAGTGCCTAAATCTTGCGAATTTACTCGAGGTGATAATGAAGAGTTTACAAAACCCCTTGACTGAGGTAAAGGTGACAACAATTTTACATCGCATACATTAAAAGTTTCTGGTTTCGGTTCGGCTAAATACAATTTATTTAGTGTCAGCTCAGGTTCTAACCCATGGTCGCGACGATATTTATTATCTAATAGGTGTTGACGTGACGGATGTTGCTGAGTATAGGGTGTAAGATCACCCGGTGTATATTCCAAATCAAGAGGCTAGAATAAGTGATTTAGAAGTTTATAAACGTGTGACAACAATTTATTTCATTTTTATATATTGGCAGCAAGGTTTACAAGTGCAAATCCGAACGCAAGGGTTGGGTTTCTTGTGAATCGAATACAATTGAAAAAAGAAAAAATATTAAATGTTAGTTTTCAATAAATAAATAAATGTTTATATACACAGATAAAAAATATATATGTATATATGTATGTCCGTAATTCCTCTGTGGTGAAATTGATTGCTTTATAAATGTTCATGTCCGGAAAGTGCTATTGCTTCTTGTTAGCACCCATTTCTTTGCACTTTGAGCTATACTGGTCGATCCGGTCGACCTGACTGACAGCTTGTAAACAAGTGAAACTTTTTTATTGTACAACCAGCAAAAATGTCTAAGCTATGCATAGGCAAAATTCATCGGAGAAAAATGATCGCGCCAAGCATGTAACATAAAGTAATCAATCTCAACAGGGAAAACTTATTATTACGTGTGCGAGTGATTACAAGAGTCTTCTAATGTTGGCGCAAGATTTCACATATCTTGTTTGGAGTTGAAAATTTGCAGCGGATATTGCTGCCACTCAATATTCCTCGAATCGAAGAATTCGAAGAAATCCGTAACAGTGAAAGTTTTTCGAAATTGAATCGTGAACGTATATATATATATATGATATATCCGTTGCTTTCTACTTCAATTTTTACGAATTTGTCAAAGTCTGGGATATACTGCTAAACAATTTTGCTATCTCCATGCTAGGTCGATGATTGATTCGCATATGTCTAAGTCACGGATAAAGTAATAGTTTTTAAACTCCTCCCTTGAGACTCATTCATAATCACCTGCACACAACAGGAGAACGTGTAAAAGCGTCGCCTGCCTCATTCATAACTAAGTTCATTTATGTATTGAAATTTGAATTATGAATAAGATTGGTTGTCTTCTTCGATCAGAAGATCGAAGTAGAACTAGTAGATTAAGAATTCTGCTATACTTCTGGTTTCTTTTCGCATGGATGCAGCACGACCTTGTCAGAACGCAGTAGCGGTTCTATGGTTTCGCATTTTGTGGGGCATTTTGGCTTTTTGTAAAGTTCCTCTAACTTTGGCGAGGGTGCTCTGCCTTCGTGGCAGACAATAGCTTTCCGAGGGAAACTTCGCCATTTATAGCGCGTAAGCATACATTCATGATACTTTCCGGCAAACTCTCTCGTCAATTTATCGGGCAACTCATATGTACTTCGGAAATAACCCCATGGATTTTGATTAACTCTAAATATACGCAAGAAATCAAATCGATTATAAAATGATTGTGGAAATCTTTCAGTACATTTTGGCGCAATCAAGCAAATGGCCGCGATCGTTTGCGACAAATTTGGTGGCACCACGATTGGTTCTGGGTCGCGGAGGATACCATTTCGGCAATTCCCAATTTCCTAACCGGTTTGCGGTGTAAGCTTTTTCGAACTAATTGTAAAAAATGAAAAGAAAATCGGAAATTAAAAACAATTTTTGAAATTTTTGTTTTCGCGCGAATGCGGGCAGGAAAGATTGCGATTAGTAAAGGATTTAGTACGATTTCCTCTGACAGGCATAACCACCTGTTTTATTTGCTTTAATACGATAATTTATAACATTTTAATCCTCGTTGGGTAAACAAATTGTAAAAAAAAAAAACAAAAAACACAAATTTTCTAAATCTCAATGCAAACATACTCTACGCCCCTTACACTAACCCCCGGCGGCAGAGTATTTCTTACATTAAAGTAAAAGCGCAAAGTAAGTGTAAAAAATTCAAAGCAGAAACGTCCTCCACCTAATCAGCGGGCAAATGAAATAAAAATGCATCTGATTGGATTTGTTGCTAAATATATATTTATGTATAGAACATTTTCGAGAAATTATATTAAAAGCAAACTTGAAAATGTTAAGATTATCTACTCGAATGCATTAATTAATGCATTTTTTCGTTTCGTTTGAGTCGCCGAAAGGGAATGTATACAAATATATAGATATGTACATATACATACATACATACATACATATATATCATTCCATATGCCGTATTTTTCGAATTTTTTAGTTCGCAACTTCTTGCATAGAAAAACGGACTCCACTTGTGGGTGCGTCCGATGGTCGGAAGATAAAATTGAAGTATTCTTTCAATAAATCGCTTCTAAATTTGAGTTTTGAAGGGAGTGACAACAATAGTTCAGTAATGCGTAAGTAATGCGAATGGTGACATTAACGAGATCTGAATAATGCTAGCACGAGATATGTTAGCAATAAATTAAAAATTTTCATTTGAAGGTAATATTAAATAATATTTCAAAAATAGTCTTACAAATTTGAAATGGGTCTTACTAGTCCGGGAAATACGGTGCATACATAGGTATAATATTTTCGAAAATTTTCAAAGCATATTAAAATAAAATAGTTTGAAAATTTCCAGCGGGTGCCAGTTATATGCCACCACGATTGAAAGAATTTTACACCCTTCAGATGCTTGCAAAAAAAAAGACACCAATTATATGATGTTCGCTTCTTCTTTTTTTATTGATATGCGGAGCTTGACATATGTAAAAAACATTTCCAATTTAATACCAAGCACATAACTACATTTCAATGGAAGCGAGACAAGCGACTGACTAAGCATGGATTACATAAAAGTCATTTATCTGTCGAGTTTAGCGAAAGGAAAAATAAATTAATAAAAAAAGCTCTACTACAAACAAACAACACCTTCTCATCGTCCTCCCTACATACAACGATAATTATTCATTTTTTTTCGTTTGTTTACCTTTTTCCATAGTTTGCTTGCTTTTTATTTTATTTAATTATTATATATGCAAATGTTAAAAGAAATTTGATACATAATGGCATTCATTCCTTAAGATGAATGAATAATCGCATCTAACCACAAAATCTAATAATTTCGCACATTCAAGCGAGCAAACTTGATGACAAGCGAATGATATAAGAGGAGAGCATGGCACGCGTCTATTTGAAAGTCCGCCCAGTTAACAAACTACTGGTCTTATTTCCCCTCCCCTGCCCTCACCCCCTGGCCTCTTTTTTCATTGCCGCCGTGCGTCATATAAATCTTCACACATTCAAATTTACTTTTTACTTCAACATTATCATCATCATCATCATCATCATCATCACGACGGCCTATCAAAGTTTTATTGTATGTAAATAATTAAATTTTTACGGTAATTACTGCGGCGAACACTTGAAATGGATAGAAGAAAAGTTGCGTTACACTTGTCATTATTGACGGAATTGATTGAATTGAGAATTTTCTTTTTTTGCTTTGCGGGTTGACGATGATAATCCTTGTAAACTAGATTTAGTTGTGCTAGTCCGTTGCGGTGGCGATCAAGCCTTCGCTTTTCGTTTATATGGAAAATTGATTTTAAACTCAATTAGCAAAACAGTCTGTCTTGCATCGGTCTTTAGCTCTTCTCACCAAGTACACCAGCCTGGTGCTGCTGCTACGATATTAATGGCAGCCAGCATATGATGAGCCTTTGATAGCTAAGAAATCTCTTGGGTAACATTTATCACATTGTCTGCGTTTTGAGGATTATAAAGGCCAGTCAAAAAGCTATGTGTTATTGTGTTTGTTTGTTAAAACTTGCGAACTGAAATTGTAAGCGTCTTCAACCCCATTTCATAGTAGTTATGTACGCGCCATGCTTGCCATGCTCGCCCAGTGTTATTTGCTAAGGTACTTATAACACGTGTTCTTTGTTGTTTATTAAGCTGAAATCTTTCATTCTTACACTTGTTATATTTTATTGTACTCTTCACAGCATACTTACATAAATATATATGTAGGTAACCTCAGCGTGCGATAAACTACAAAAAAAAAAAATAGTTAGTTACTGAGCACACCGACCGACCACCTTTCTCTTCAACTGTACTATTATCTATTTAAAGCAATTTAACGCTTCTCTAATTCCATTTGTGCATCTTGTCTGCACTAAATGTAAAGCAATGGCAATATAAAAGCAGATGTCGTCCTTAGTCATTTTCTATTTCAATTAAATTAACTTAATACCATTGACGCTTAAGTTTAATCGATGCCTATTGGACGAGGAAGAACTTTTAATTGTTCAATTACATTTTACTACAAAACGCTTTTTACACAACGATTTTTAACACAAATTCCTTTAAATATATACACACGTCTAAGTATATAATGTTATTTATCTATTTTACGATAGTTTTAACAGTTGAAGCGAAAAAAAAATTTCTTTCTCGGAAACAACTTAAGATGTGCATACTTATGCACCATATATTTGGGGCACGTTGCCATGCAACTTACTCAATAGTTTGTTTATTATACCCAACAATAAAATATGAAAGTAATATCATTTTTATTTCTGTCTGCCGTTCCGGCAATCGGCAAACCTATCATCACCACCTATGTAAGTTTAACTTGTTTCATTCACTTCCTCTCCAACTGGCCACTTCTAACTAAAGAAAAAATTGATGATTTGGCTCATATTGGGGATTGAATTAGGAAAAGATCAAACGTGAAATCGAAATTTCAGTTCACATTCACATGGGACACTACCAACGCTTCTAGATGCTGATATATTAGGGTGGGGTTGAGTCATACGCATCAATCTAGATGTGACCCGGAAAGCTGAACCTAAGTTATTACATTTTTAAATCTCTTCCCAAGTAAGAAAAAAAAAAGAAAAAAAAAAATATATTAAATTTTTCAACTTTTGGCGAATCGCGATTTCTTAGAAACTTTTTAAGATTTATATTAATTATCGAAAAAGTTCTTTGCTTATGAACGATTGCATTAGAACACATTGCGAATCCTCACGCACGCCTCTAAGACATTTTCAATATATATTACCTGGGTCTAAAGAATCGCTAAAATAAAAAATTGGCGAAAATTTACCCAACGTGTATATCGTAAAAACATTTTGTCTTTATGTCTTATGCTCTGGATATATATGTAACTCACTTCACGAGAAGGACCTTTAAATTTGAACTTTACATGTATATGGTCCGTGAGAAACGAAATATAATGCATTTAGAGATGATTATGATATGACCTTGTGAGGTTAGGAAACATACCTGATTGGCACTGAAATTCAATGACATGATTTGATTGCAGCTATAAAAAAAAATAAATAAATAATAATTAAAATGGAAAATGTGGATTTTATATTTATATCAAAAATGTATGAATAATTATTTCGAATTTTTTTTTTTTTTTGATTTGTTTCTTTAAATCATTTAAACTTTTTCCGATTCGATAGTAAAATAGAAGAAAATGTCCGATGAAAAACTCATTTCGGTTTAACAATTAAAAAAACGTTTCTCCAAATGAAAGGGGAAACGTCTACTTAGTACTGGTAGTATTGGTATTTATTTGAAGGTTACCATCGCAAACTGTTTTTATGGAATACCGACGCAGCGACGAAAAATAAATAAACATTCATTGCCTTAGTTATCGGGAAATTGAAAAATTAACATAAAAATGCAAAACGAATTTTTCTTCGCCTACAAGCAGCGACTCTTAAGTACAATTTTTATAAAAAATTATTATTATATATTTTTTTAAAATAAATACGATGGGCGTGTCAGTGTCAGTAAAAATGAAAATGAAAGGAATTCATAGAGACGCTGGGGCGTGTTTATCAATCGCTTAGCTATGGAGTGAAAATATTGCGCATGCTTTACAATAAGCAGCATCTTCTGCCTCTCATTACCCACATAGTGTATATATCATAATAAAACAATTCTTTAAAGCGATGGGCACATCTGGTCTTGTCGCTGTAACAACAACATTGCCCTGGAAGCTATTACTAAACACAAATGATGCTCTTCGCGGTCATGTTGCACAGACTCAATTTCCGTTTTCCCCACAAAATAACGCCTTCATTTTATTGCGTTGTATCGTCTGTCATACAAACGTTTGTAACTCCTCTACTCTTCTCCGTGCAAAATAATCGTGAACACCAAACTATCTCCTTTAGATTTGATATTGTTGTTGTTGTTTTTATTGAAATATTTGTTATACAAACACATATACGCATACACACATGCACACACACACACACACACATACGTACACACAAAATTGTACTCTTAAAATTAAACAAAAAATTATTAAAGTCCAAGACAGTATAACATCGATTGTTCGTTAGATGGACAGAAAGGTTTCTATAATAATGTCTTCATAGTTTCTTCGTCTTCTTCTTCTTCTTCTTTATGGCGTCTCCAATATATGGTTTAAGTAGGCTATATAGCAAATAGCCAATTTCAGAATTTCAATTTTCGATAATTTTTTGTCGGGTGGTAAAGTCGGTAACAATTTGCGTAGCTCGGCGAATGAAACGTTGAAGGCTTCGACACGTATACGTTCTCGAGTAGCATGAGCGGTACGATATTTCAAGGTTGCACGCCGGCGCCGACGTCTCTCTTCGCGCGACAAGCCAACCAATTCGGCCGGATCTAAATGAGTTATTGGCGTGGTGCGTCGACGAGGCGCTGGTGTTGGTGGCGGCAGTGGTCTTATCTGCTGCGGTGGTGTCTCACATGCCATACGAGCCTGATACCGTTTATCGACATCGAAGGCTGCATAGTCTTGATTCTCGACATTGTTAAGATCTTGTAAATAATAACGACCCACAGCTATATTCTGAGAGGGTGGCATCATCTGATTCATATCATAGACCATTGTCTTACGATGCAGTGACAATTTTAAAACTATAATTATAAAAAAAAAACAGTTAAAAATTAAATAACATAGTTTTTTACTTCAAATTCGATTCATTTATAATTCAGTTCGTTTTTGGCTCACCGTTCGATAGCACACTTGTGGGCGGCGGTAGTTTTTTTTTTTTTTTTAAGCTACTATTTTCCTAACATATGCCTCTGTAGTCTTTAATTGTATTATTTATGATATTTAGTGTATTTACGCTCTTAAGGGGTTAACTATTTATATAACGATGGGAATAATTGTGTGCGTACAATTGTATACACCCTTTCCCTTTATTTGTTCTTTTTATTATTATTTTTATAAATATTGATTTGTATATATTTTCACACCTGCATTTATTTTGTTCTGCCATCAGAGAGACATCACGTTTTCCAATAAACCATAAAAATTTAATATTCATTAAACTAACGAGCAACAAATATTAGGAAACCGCAGAAAATATTCAAAAAGTTCAATATCATTAAATATCGTTACTAAATTAAGTGAACAGGTGGGCGGGACCTACTCTCTAAAGACATTTAGATTTCTATATAGATAGATTTCTAGACATTTATCATTTCTATAGATACATTTTCTAAATAGAGTATATAAAGTCATTCTTTTACATATATACCCTTTCATTCTTTTGTATCGTTCATTCTTTTATATAAATACCGTTTAATACTTTTCAAAAAAAATTTCAATAAACAGTTTGAACGATTTGTAAAAGTTGCTCGCAGGCATTCTGGGGACGTCTCCTATATGTGCGGGCACGGCGGTGATTAGGAAGGGTTATAGCAAAGAAGTGGTGAAGGAAGAGGCAGTAAGTTTTATGAAAGTTCACCTTGAAAGTGAAGACATCGGTTACGGCTTAGCTTTTCCTACTAATCTGACCTCAACTTGTTAGTGTATGATCTCTAACTGAAGGAATACGGGGGACACAAGGTACTGCCGTCTGCAGTACGCGTAGACAGCGTTTTCTCAACACGAGGAAGGGACAAAAAGAGAAGGAAGAGAAATTTGTAAATTATTTAGATCTTATAATGGAAATATTCTCCAGGGGTGCTTCGCGGGGCTGTGCCAATCGAATTTTGGTTTAAAACGTCTTTAGACTATACCGGACTCTAAAGGAAATGATGTTTTCGTAGCTTTGTAGTCTTTTAGTCTGCAGTTCGTAGTAGTCTGTAGGAAAATAATCGCAGTTTTAGTGGCTTCTGCGGTTAACTTCTTCTTCTTCGTCTCTGGCTATGGGATTTTACACCATCAAAATCATAGATCTAAATCGTATCTTTAAAGACTTTGCTTCTTTTTTTTAAATTTTATCAAACTTATTTTATCGTTTCCGAATATAACTGAAATCTTTGACACACTTATTTCTCTATCTATGATAATTTTCATTTCTGGCGCTCGGTCCAAGTAAAAATTCAATTTCGGCGGGTCTTTCGCACTACGACAATTTGTCGAATAAGTATTAAATACATATTGAAAAGATTGTTTTCATGAAAAACGCAGAATTACAGCACTATGCAAAATCCGTCCCACTAATCGATCAAGTTATTTGCTATTATTATGAAAATCCCATATTTGATGATTTGAGTTTTCGCGAAACCCAGTCGAGTTCTAAGAAACCAGAAAGTGTTAAAAATGGTAAAACCCAACGCACATTCAAAATATTTTCGCAATAATATTTACCTTGTAACTTGCTTGTAATATATAGATATAAAAGCACAATGACAGATACCATGGAAGAAGCGGACATGAAAGTATTGTTCCGGACAAAGGTAAAAAAAAATTTGGAATTTTATTTCACTGTGCCACTAAAATAACCCACGAGCCCAGCACATTAGATCCGAATATAGCCAATCTAGATGGGCCATACAGATGTCTCCTTCACTGTTTTTCTCCTGATTTTGCTCAAGAAATTGTTGATGGAACTGATCTCTATACCATTCGAACAAGCCTATGATAAACGGTCCTTAGACTATAACAACTTTGTTACTCTTCAATAAAAATGAAAAGCATCTTTCAAAAAAATCATCCAAATCACAATCGCTTATACATGATCGGACCATCTAAATGAGACATTTTCATTTATTCCCGTAGACCAACGACTCTCAAGACAATGACAAATAGATCACATTTCGCAAAACAACACAAGTGTGTCTGCAAGATATTTATTGAACGTAGTCTCATAACGTACGCATACCGTTGTGAAATGTATTCCGGACAAGAAGACAAAACAAATAGACGACCAAATGGGCCAAAGTCGTCTTATGATTAGCTAAAGTTATATTAAAAATGACGAACTTTATAGCATTTTCGATAATTTTTACACATCATTGCCCCTGGCATACTATTTAGCGAAACAGGAGGTCCATTTTGTCGAAACTGTACGACAGAATGGATTGCCTAATTGCACAGTCGCGGGCAGGGAGAATGTAATGGAGATAACGATTCTTAGGAGAACTTAAGGAACGAAGATATTTCTCATCACGATACTTTTGACCTGGCAGCACGGTTGTTATTATGTTGTCTGCAACCCGTACTGTATGCCTTGCAACCTGTAGACAATATCAGTCAATTCATATGATAAGGTATTAAGGCAAAAAGATCAACATCTCTTTCTCAAGAGTAATGCAAGAGGATAATATGCATAGAGGAGGAGTGGACAAGATGAATAGCTACTTAGGTCGCTATCGTATAGTAGTCAAAGGCCGCAAATGGTACCTCCGCCTATTTTATCATTTATAAGCCCTTGCCATAATAAATTCGTGGGTACTTATAAAAAAAAAATCCATTGTCGATGGTATCCCAAACAAACAACAAACACTAAACCTTGTAGTCTAGTTCTGCAATGATTTGCCAGATGTTCTTTGCTTTGTGGCATCGCATATAAACGAGGTCGACCTACTAATATTACCTACTACGTTAGAACAAGTTTACAGTCGCAAAAAACCTACAGAGGCATCTCACCCTTTGCCGTCTATGGACGTATGTCACTGGCCAATATTTGTACGGGTACCACATAGCAAAGTCACGTAGCAAATGCAATAATTAAATGCGAAAAATAGTTGTTTCATGAATTTTCATTTTTGTAATATAACGAGAAGTATTATGTTATTTTGGAAATGAACGAAAAACTCTTATGTGATCTTTTTTATATCCATCACCGAAGGATGGGGCGTATACTCATTTTGTTTTTCTCCATAATGTATGTAGTAGTCAGAGGCCCTATAAAATATATATAGTCTTGATCAGCGTGAAAGTCTGAGTTGATTTAGCAATGCCTGTCCGTGTGGGTAGTATGTATTGTTGGCACTCTCCTGGTCGCAAAAATAAAGATATCGACTGTAAATTTGGTAGAAATATTGAAAGTTTCTGCACTCTACTCTTCACGTGCAAAATGGAAACAATCAGCGAAGCCCACACAACGTTGCGAGTAATTAAATTTTATATCTTTTTTACTCTTTTGAGATGTCATGCTTATTTCTCAAATAAGGATATATTATCTGAAATAGATGTGGGGGATACGGCGATCACTTTTTTCTTAATAATACCAGCGATGTGGGTATCAAATAAAAGAACTTGGTGAGTAGAATGCTAAAAGCATATTGACGGGTATGCGGGATCCGGCCCCCGCCGAATACAACTTTCTTACTACACTCATTTTCCATTTAATTTCAATTTTTTTTTTATTAGTAAACATTCATGCATTTAAGGGTTAAGTGATTTTGTTAAATGCAAAATATTTATAAACTTTAATTTTGGAAATCGAAAACAATAAAAAGAATAGAAAACATTTTTCCCCGAAAAAATCGCCCAACAATCGGTTAAAATCTCTCAATTGAAAACGTCTAAGGCACTTGATTTGATAACTTGATGCCACTAAACAGCTGCACTTGAAATTTAATATAATAAATATATATATATTTGTATAATTGTTCGTGAATTTGAAAGCGCTGGAAAAACGGCCAATTTGAAAAATATTTCGTCTTGAGAGACCCGCAATAAAAACCTTACATTGTAAGACCGAATTAATTTGTTTTATTCACATGGAGATTTTCAATGCACATGAAACATTTCCAATATCATTCTTGAACACTTAAGGGTCATTTAAAACAACAAAGAAAAAAATATTGGAAACATTTTATAAGATAGGATTACGCCTTAAAAGAACGTTGCAAATCTTTTTCGCGAGCAAAAATTCCGATTATATTATTTCGGAGCCTTTCGGAGCCATTTACTCGTTATTCTCTCGTGTTTTATTTGAGATGAGAACGCAAGGGGACATCGTTCTCCACTCACGAGAACGAGCAGGATCAGGTTTATCTCAGTGCCATCGAAGTTCTTATCTCCCAGTTTTATCCCATTTACATGAAATGATTCCACAAAGAGAAATTTATCGAATTTTTTGCAAATCAACTTCAGTTGCCTTCACAGTAAACAGGAACGATTCTTATTTGTAGTCAAGTTAATGATTTTTTAACATTAAATTTTTCATTCCTATGGTTCCATTATTCCAAGTAGAGTACATTTCGCGTTAGCAAAGTACACCGACGTTTTATTTAGGTTTAACAAGTAAAAACCTTATAGTGAACCATGGCCTATCATTGAATACGCTACGCCATTTCACTTAATACATTTACACATTGTAACTTTCCAAAATAAGGCATTATATGGGAAGCGCTCACCAAAGTGGCCCGATCTAAAGCATTTTTATCAGCGCTATACCAAATTTACGCAAATTTCATCAAAATGTGTGAAAAATTGTTTCCTACAAGCGGAGCACAAGAATACAAGACGGATAGGCGATCGAACGGACAAACGGACTGCATAATACAAGATGAATCTATCTCATGTGTTTTCGCGTATTGTACATACACCTAGACAAAGTTAATACATCCTTGTACAACAAATAGTATAGCGTACAAAAAAAGTTTTCTTAAAACAAGCTTATATCCAAACGAAGTGAACCGAAGTGGTATGCGAAATTTCTCCCCTGTCGCTTAGAGCTTAGGGCACTTAAGTTAATTCGATTTTTTCTAAACGTGTTACAATTTTATATACTATATATTTTTGTCATTGTACATATAGAGAAATTGTATTGCCCTCAAAACTGAAAATGGATTTTCAGCAAGGTCAAGCATAAGGATGTACTCATCACCTAAATAGGGAGTCTTCATGCGAAACGCGAAAGCGAATTAAATTTATAAATATAAAGAAATGAGAAATTCACATGTATATGTAAATGTAGATATATTAATATTTACACGATCTATGAATTATTGCATATGTAATATATCAAAGCAGGCATAGTTGTAACGAATATTTCACAGCCACGGCCAATACCCACTATGAAGCGTGAAATGTTACCTTTGCTATGTAAATAAAAATTGTATAAAACTATTTTTATTCCTGTTTCAGATCTACCTATTAGCCGAGTTTATTGCCACAATTTTCTGTTCTCTTATTATTGATAAGTTACGAGTTGCAAGTACTTGCAATAGGATAGAGAAGAGAAAAACCTTGCGTCCATAAATATTTAAAATGAAAGCTGGGCAATGCTGCGACCATCAAATACTATCTATCACTACGATCTAATACAAGTCTCTATTTCTTTTCGTAATAGAATTCCAAAAATTGGCCGTTTGTTTCCAAGCGGTAGTCTCCATATGACAGAGAGTCTAAAACGTAAGCTGATGGGACATAAATTTACTTTGTTGCCATGCAAAAGCTGAATTTTTAATGGGCGATCTTATACCTTATGGATTCTAGGGATCAATTTTCATCATAATATACTAGAAAATAGTACCTTTTGTCATAAAACGGTGCACGGAAATGAACAACCAGATGTCCATTATGAAAATTGGTTATTGATTTTTATGTCAAACTATTAACCTATTAACCTTAATGTGAAATATTACAAATGAGACTGTTTTCCTATATGAAGTCCAATCAGTTTTGCGCACGAACGTTTATATACGATAGAGTTTAAAGCATCGGGCCATCCGATCTAAATTTCTTACATCACTCAGCGATTTTTGACGACGAAGGTATGCCTCTCTTGACCTCTCCTGATACGCACAAGGTTAATATGCCCGATACCACAAGTAGGGTGAGGTATAAATATTGTGTATTGCTTCCTCTTCCCTTATGACAATGCATTTTTTAATGAGAATTTGGGTAATTTTGACTCAACCAACGTATAACCTGGAAATCTCTCCGTCCTATTATTACTTGTTTCGCTCTTTACACAACTCCCTTACTTATGGAGGCCGATAAAAATCATTCGGTTTTTGTTTTTCTAGAAGCATAATGGCATAATAGATGTAATAGAAAAATTCCAAAAGGGCGCACAATATGTTAAACAAATTTCAACATCAATACTTTCCTTCTCCAATAGCTGACCAAGCATTTAAGAAGCCGGGCAACCTTCGGACTTAATTATAAAAGTATTAGAAGTGTAAAAAATTTAAAGATAAAGTTTAATATTGACTGTATGTATGTGATTAAATTTCGTGTCATTTCATCGTAGTATAGAACTGAAACCACTGAAACTGAAGTCATTATTAGTTGCAAAAGCAACTAGTAGTAGTAACGTCATACCAAAGAAATGGTCAGCGTTTTCCAACAAAACAAGCTTAAATGGACAACGCACGAAACCTACAAATTTATTAGTTCCATTTGTTACATATATAGATCGCGATCGCGCGCTAATAGAAGCAATACAAATCTTTCCTGAAAAATTATTCCATATGTAATTGATATAAAACGCACACAAGTCACTTTGTTTCATGTAAATATGACATAAAACAAATTAGATAAAGATATTAAAAAATTTTATATATTAGAAAAATTAGAAAAAGTCGATATGATAAAATTTATCAATACTTTTTATTAATTTTAGTTATATCTGCGTAGTTTTTTTTTGCCACAATATGATTGAATTTTGCAGTTAAATTAGGAGGAAAAATTTGTAATCATAGTATAGTTTTTACGTGGAAATTTTTGCATGGTTATTTTTGCGAAGAATTCTTGTAATTATCCCTAAAAATATTTATAATAGTATTTTAAAATGATTTATTTTGACAATCTTAAAAGGTTTTTTTTTATATTTTGTTTTCCATTAAATTTCATTCAACATTTAGTTAAATTTTGAAACAAAACGTTTTTCAGCATATGCTATCCAATTGAGAAATTAATTAGTTTAACTTAATTTTTATTTGTAAATTTTATACATTTCTTACGTTTTGTATTCCTCACAAATTCTAATTAGTAACTGTCACGTATGTAAAAGTTTGCAGCATCCTTTTATATTCCACTTAATATGAAATCCTTCGTCTGTTAAGCAACCCTATATCAAAATGAAATTGTATGCTGGGCCAATCAAAAAACATCATTTCTGATTTGTGGTAGATGAAATATCTAAAATGGCGTCGTGACTCCGCCTCTTACAAAAATATGAAACATACAAATTATTTTCTTAATAAAATTTTTAAATTATTGGATTTTTAATTAATATTAATCTATTACATGTATTTATTTAATATTAACGTAATTTATAAATTTTTCTCATTAAGTTATTTCAATGCTAAACAACTCTGCCTTAGTAGATGTCGAATTTTTGATTCAGACATGTTTCTTTTTTCTCGAACTGTTTCTACTTTATATTTTGAGAATAACTTTTTTTAAATCTACACAGTGTATCTGTCAAGATTGAAGTGCTAACCACAATGATTACGTTATACTTCGTATTTGGCGCACGAATTGTCAAACTAACAATTATTATGTACAGTAAAGGCTCCTTATTCGCGGGATATACGTTCCATAAAAATGCTGCGAATACAGAAACCGTGAATACGGAATGATAGTTTATATAAGATTATAGGGGATACGTTTCTAGGTGACAAAATAAAAAAAAATCAATTTAAATGAAATTTATGAACATTTTGATTAATTATCTTAAGGCTTAGGCAATGGTTTGAAGAATTTTGTAAGTTTCTCTTGCTTGGCAGTTTTTAAAAGCTCCTTCAATTCCGACTGATATGCAGCAGTCGTATTAGCAATTTGCCTCTTAAAAATAAGATTTCGTTCCATAGACGGACCAATGTTCATAAAGAAATCGCTAAGCTCATTTGCCATTCTTAAACCTTAACTAAGACCTTTCAAATTAAATGTCACGTTTCCAGTGCTTGTTAAAGCCTTTTCTTCAATGGGCGGTGAATTTAACATTTCCTCCAAGTCGTTTTCAGTCAAATCTTCATCTTGCGATCCAAGCAATTCCTGAATGTCACTTGATTCTATCTGTTCGAACCCATCTCGTCCTATTCCATTCGCGGTTTCGCCTATGTTTGCAGTCCGAGTTTGAACTTACACAGATTCTTCGTCATTTTCCGCAGTCAGAGCAGGCCACAGTTTTTTCCAGCATGACTTCAATGTGTGTAGCTTCAGTTCCTCTAATGATTCTTTTATGTTTACGATGCATTTCGCTACGTCAAATTTCTTCCTGCATTCCATAACATTCATATCACAATTATATTCCATATTATCCAATATGATTTTGACGATTCGTCTAATATAATAGAGCTTACAGGCCTGGATTATTCCTTGGCCCATAGTTTGAAGCAAAGCCGTCGTGTTGGTTGGTAAAATGTTTGGTTGCATAGTTTCAAGTGCGCGAGGATGACCTGGTGCATTGTCCAAAAGTAGAAGTACTTTAAAATCTAAATTCTGTTTTTTTAAATAAGTTTCAACTTCAGAAGCAAAACAATTCCGGAAAGAGGTACAAAAAATCCGCGATTAAAGAAATTTATAACCGCGAATATGGGAAATGGTTTGAATTTTTTTAATCCGCGAGTAGTGAAACCGCGAATAAGGTAAACGCGAATAAGGAACTTTCACTGTATTTTTACATGTAGATGCGTTGTGTGCGAAGGCAAATTTTTAAAATTTCTACGTGCGTCACTTTTGACGCGGAAACAAAACGTAATAATGGTTTATATTTGAAGCAAATTTGCTTCCGAAAACATTTTTTTTATTTTTTTGTTCCATTTTGCTTTAAAAGTCTTTGTTCAAAGAAATTTTTCGTTTTACTATTTTTGCACTTCGTTAACCTTTGTGCAGAAACACGCTAACCATATGATTTTTCGTTAGCAGCGCATGCAACCTGAAGGTTTTACTGATTTCGGGTTACGCATTATGTAAAATGCAGTCATTGTGTTTGGCGCTTGAGGGTTCTCTGTTCAACTCATTCTTCATCTCTTGTTAACGTCATCAACGTTCAAGAAGAAGAATTTTTCACATATGAAATAAGAGAGTTATAATGTTTCACAACTTTATAACCAAATTTAATCAAATAGATTTCAATGTTGTACGCCATTACAGCAAACATAACAAAAAATACCTTTATAACAACGGAGTAAAATATGGAAATATTTACTATTATCCACGGTCAGTTTTATTTATACGAAAATTAGTTTTTTATTTCTCACTTTCTTTAATTAGCACGGCAGATCATCAAGATCCTGCTGTAGTACCCGCCAAATTGTTTCGTGTACAACGCATTAAACCTGTGAAAGGTAATCCTTATTGGGAGAAACGCTTATTGAACGAGTTAGGCTTGGATGGAAAGCAAAGTGATTTCACTGTAGTTAAGAATATACCTGAAATTAATGCCCGGCTATGGAAAATTAAACATTTGGTGAAAGTAACACCTATAACATTTCCATATGGTGAACCAAAAGAACATGATATCAATCACACTTTTTTAAAAGAAAATGGGGAATGCATTGTTACCAAAGATATTGGACCAGTAGACGAGAGAATTGAAGCATTAGAAAGCTTTGAAAAGGATGTTAAACGCCTGGATACCGAACTTTTGAGAAAAGATGCACGCTTGAAATGGTTAAACCCCTGGTAAAAGCAGTAAAGAATTTATTAAGCAATAAAATATTTAAAATGAACCTTTGTTCAATACAAAAAATTAAAATGCACATTTTTTTCTTTGTTTACGAACGCCTATGCTGATAAGCAATTACCGCCACTTTTTTATCCAGTTTCTTACAGCCGGATTTAGCGAACACGCCGTGAATAGGATCAAAAGTAACAACGCTTTCCACAATTTCGCTACAAATCAGAAAAAAATGTTAGACGAAGCGATTTTATTAGCAAACCAGGCTCCCTTTGCGACTTACTCTAATACTTTTACTTCCGGATACATAAAATAACGAGCAAATTCGGCGTTCAGGCATTTATAAATGTGGGATTTTTCTAAAGGTAGAAATGGTATGAAGTGATCAATAGCATGCGCTTCGATGAGACTGCTTTTACTTAAACCACCGTCCAAGTTGTAGGCAGCTCTTTCCAAAATGCTTTCGAAGTCCCCCAATTTGGTATTTTCACGCAAAATACCTTTGACGAGTAAGTTTCCTAAATGAGTGGATATTTCAACTCCGGCTGTATTTGAGAGAAATATATAAATAGCTTGCGAGAAGTCCACCCCGTTTGCGATGCTTCTGTAATCAACGATTGAGGTTAGAGCTTCAAAAGCTCCCTTTGGCATTTTATCTACTTCATCAAATATGAACAGAGAACGTGGACATTGTCTAAGAGCGTCTATAACCGTACGGTGAATGTGGGCACCGTAAGAAGCTGGATTCCCACCTGTTGAGTAACCCGCACGACCCATGAACTTATGTACAAATTGGCTCCGTAAACCTTCAGCATATATACTATTCGCTATCATATCGGCGACCATATTCTTCCCGGTGCCAGGTGTGCCATGAAAACTAATTACAAGTGACTTTCGTGTTTCCCGTCCCTTTTCTAAGTGACTCGCCAAAGCGGCTATTAACTGTTGTTTGACAATGTGTTGACCGTATAAATTCGCCAGTTTAGTTTTCAATTCTTTAAAATATGATGTGTTTGTTAGACTTAGGGATATCAGTAGTTATTTATCGCTACGTACCATACACATTTGCAGGTATGCTGCGATCATTACAGCATTCTGCATATCTGCAATAAGTTTGATCCTTCAAAAAATCAGACTTCCACACTCCTATTAAGGCCGCAGCACCGGCACCGATTGTTATAGGATCAAATAGTGCTAATGAATGCGAAATTAACGAGAGCAGTGTTGAATATAATAAAATATAAGTCATCACGGTTAATGAGAAAAAAAGGAATACTCTAACAATTGCGGTATTATTCTACATGAATATGCCGTAAATAAAGTTTACAAATGCAGCAAAAATTAGCGACTAAAGCGCAAACACAATATTTGACTGTCACAGTAACCAACGCATAATGCAACATCGATAAACATACACTTTGCATGCGTTGCTTAAACAAGCTTGTTGAAGCAAAACACGAAAATGAGGAAAAAAGATATTTTTTGCAAGCAGAAGATGATGATTCCTGTAAATTCAAACTATGGTTAATAATGTAATACAAAGAATTAGCAACTTTTAATAGGTCTATAAGCGAATGTTCAAAGGATAAAAGAAAATGGATAGCTACGATATAATTATTTGAATTGTGACAGTAGGAATGATGTGGGAGCATTATCGTCACCGCCATAAAAAGCAATACTGGATTATTTGCGACCGCTTTCGATCATACGTATTATATTCACATCGAGCATTCTAAAATGAATGTTCGCATGAATTCGGAAATATTTGATCTTCTCCTAAATATGACGGATAAGGTGCGAACGAAATCTTCGTACACATCATCTATATCTACGAAGTGCAAATTGTTCTTGACACTAATGTACAGCTCTCTTTTGTTATAATTGAAATTCAAAAAACATTTATCTTGTGTTGCTTGTTGATTCATGGGTTATGTGTCAGATAATTAGCACTCATAATGGGAGCGTCTGCAGTGCAGTCCATTATTTAGGAAACATCGCTGAACTTATGGAATGTTCTAGCTCCGTTTTATTTAGGTTGGTTGAACAGTTCAGAAAGGAAATCCGCGGGGAATGGTTTCGACAATATTTGGAATCTTCCACGCTGCGTAGACACTATAGATGGAAAACACATTAATATTGTGCGTCAAAGGTAGCCTGTTGCTACGCTAAAACGTCACAAACATTTCATAATAATTTGTTCTTTCAGATACGCACTCACTTGTCTTTTCTGCAGTGTGTGATGCGAACTATAATTTTACTATAATTCACAGTAGAGCGTACGGGTCCTAAAATGTCGTTGGCATTATGTGCCGCTCGAAGTTTGGGCGACGCTTAGTCCGAATCGACTAGAGCTGCCTGAAACTATAGTTATCACAGGTATTAACATGAGCTGCCTTACTATTTTGTGAGGACTTACGCTGGGATTCTATTAGCACAAGACAAGTAAACTTCTAATAAAAGGCTATCCCGAGAAAGATGGACAGTCGAAAGTGCACTTAATGCAGATGCATCTCGCCGAAGGCCGCTGTTAAGCCCCATCCACACGAATCTGGACAAAGCTGCAGCAGTGTGATAGTCGCTGATGATAATTGTGGCATTGTTGTTGGCGCTACTCATGAACATGGTAATATTCCAACCTTTGCATAAGAAAAGTGTTTCTCTAAATTAGACCAACTATTATGATATGGCTCTTCATAAGTTTTCTTTGTATGGAGACAAATTATTTTCTGACAACGGCCAAAACGCTAACAGCTTTGTTAAGGACAATGACTTCCAATCCAAATACTGAAAAGGAAAACCCCCATAATTTTACTGAGAAATTTAGAAAAACCAATAGAATTCTTTACTGCGTTAAAAGAAAAGAAATAGTGAAAAATACATAGTTCAACATACAAAGCAAGTCTGCCCATCCTGAAAATAGGAATAACGAGCTTATTTCACATTTAAAAGCAATTTAACTAATTGTATACTCCATATTACATTATGTAACTCTGAGGCGTTATTTTTGTTTTTGAGTTAAAAACTTCCAAGTGGTAAGTACAACGGGTCGCGATACCATATGGTTTTACAGAAAAATATAAACAGAAACATACGGTTTTAAAACCAAAAATAACGAGATTTCCGAAAACATAAACTACAAGTATATAAAAAATAACAATTTTGTTAATCTTCATAGGCTGCTGAAGAGGCTTTTTGTGAATTAATTGTACCACAAATTGGAAATTACCATTTATAACTTTTTAATAGCATAATCTCAACTCTAAAAAAAAATGGTGTTTAGCGCTTGTGTTCATTTCTTACAGAATAACGCATGGTATAAACCAAAATTGCAAATCACAGATTATGAAAACATGTAAGTGTAAGATAAACATAAGTTAAGTAAATAACTTTAAAATTTAACAGAAACGATCAATGTTTCTTCTTGTTTTTTCTTTTTTGGTGTAATTGTTGTACATATGCGAAAACATATGGCTTGTCAATCCCTATAAAGTCTTGTGAAAAGTCAGCAAAGTTAAATTCCCAACCTGAAAATATGATCAATGCGTCGTTGTGTCAGCCCCCTAAGGTATTTATAAGCATCATCGAAATGTTTTCTACAAATATGTAACTTTTTTCATTTTTGACTAGAGGAGTTGGCCCAGCTTCAAATATTTTTCCCGATAGCGCCTAAGAGTTTGATGATTATCGCGTTACTCTTATCTTTTATTAAAATATGGATATCCTCTGTGAATAAACAATGTTCGATTTTCGAAATGCGGCAAAGAATCTTCGTTTGGACATATAAGCCACAAATCTATTAGCTTAGTCCATCTCTGTTCAACATACCAAAAAAAAAAAAAAAAAAAAAGAATCTTCGTTCGAAGCAATTTGAAAAAAATGCGACAAATGGAAAGCACCCTTAATTTACAAGAGAAAAGAGATTGCGGAAGGCGATTAGTAATTCTATCCCTAAATTGCGTATAAAAATTTTAATGAAGTCGGAAAACTTTAGTTTTGCTTTTTACAGTCTCTGCAGAGACTTCTTGGTATAAATGCAAAACTGAACATTAAATTTCAAATCCCATGAGATGTGAAAAAATGGAATACTTTGGCCACATAACAAAAAGGGAGAAAGAGCATACCAACATGTACTGATTATAGGTTACGTTTTCATAATCTTGACGAGTGCTCATGTATGTGTACCGTTCAGCTTCGCAGAGATTGCCTTCGATATTTTCTAATGAATGAAAAAGTTTCTGCAAATTAAATTTAGAAGTATGTAGATATAAATCTGCAAAGACGTTCTCAATAGTTTTTACTTAAAAAATGACTAAATCTGCGTCGGCAATTATTTCGCTCCCTTTGCAAACTTTCAATCTTTTTGATCCTTTTCTCCTTAACGTAGGCGTACATCACATTTTACGGAAATTTCACGTTTTAAAAAACAAGATTTAATTTTGACAATAAAAAATAAAATATGGATTCCTACCAGATCAACAGCACTTCTACAACTCGCTATAAATGTAGGTGGCAGCTGTCAAAACTAGCAAATTTAAATCTCTGTAAAGAATTCCTATAAAGAATTAAATTATGTAATGACGAGGAGTCCAATGAGCAATGCAGAAATACTGTGTTACAACGATGGGCTCCGAAGTCGATCGCAATTTTTAAGTTATATGTCATTTACTTGCCACGTCCCTTTTGATACTTTGGTACTTACCGGACACACCGTTGCACAGTACTCCTATTAACATGAAATTTTCTTTGCATTTGTTCACTTTTTACTTTTATATGTGAATTTAAAATTTAATGCTTGCCAGAGATCTGTGACAAGAACTCAATTTTATATAACATGCTTTGCTCCTACCAAAACCAAATGAAATGCAAAAAGTTTGTGTTTTTAAATTACACTTTGAATTTGTTAAGAAAGGTTTCGTTAGCTTTTTTTAAATTCTTTTACCAAATATAAAACGTTACTCCGTAGACCTTATTTCCATTACGTCTGTCCATGTCTCCTTCTGGAAGCGTTATTAATCGTTCGCTCGTTCGTATCAAATAAGGACCAAACTGAAATATTCGTTTCTTGCTTATAATATAATTTTCATTGGGCACCATTTCACCCGATGTCTGCAACAAACCTGATCTTAGTTTTAATTAGGAAATATTCGCGGACTATTACGTCCTTCCTCCACAACTCAATTATCACTTCTCAAAGAGATTTTATTTATTTACATTAACACAATTTTGGTGAAATTAAGCAGAATTGTCAGCTATAGCTTGCAATAATAGTGGCTGTAATTGTGTTTGTAATAATGAATGGTCGGGACCGTGCGTAACGTCTAAAATTTTTTTTGCTTCCTGAAAATTGTAAATGGCTTCTTTGAGAAAATTTTCATACAATTGTATTTTCGCCAATTTCATGTACAGCAGACCTAATAAAGGATTCCAATCGCCGTAATATTTTCTAAAAGGGAACAAGGCAAACAAATTTAAAAGGTCCTATTCAATACAATATCGTGTGTTTACCGAAAACCAGGTAAAAGTTGCTTGCCGAATTCTAAGGCTTCACCCCACTTGTTCACTGCAATGGCGGCTTCGAAAGCAGCATCCAATATCTTGACATGCCAAACATTAAGAGAATGTACAAATTCTTTGTGTTTCTTTAGACAAATTTTACAAACATCTAAATCTGTTAAATATAGAAACAGGAAATTTTGTACAATAGTTAGATAATACGTAGCAAAAATGTACTAATTGACCGTACTAACATGCTACATCTTTCATGTTTTCCAAATGATTTTTTGTTAAATTTATAGCTTCTTGATAGGCGTTACGGTACCGTGGACTTACGCCAGCATCGCAATACAAGCAATTGTTTAATGTGATGTCGAGAGGCGCTGAGCATTTCGCATTGGGGCACTTTGCTGCTTGCATTTCCACAGTTTCCTGAGGATCAATGCATTTACTGCATACACACCAAAAATAATAATTTTCCTTTAAATCACTGCGCCGCTGTGCTGGCGTGTTCAGTAGATCTATGTAACTAATGAAAATCTACGGATGATTAGAGAACTTTGTTGAATTTAGACACTTTATTGAACATATTTGAATTACCTTGGACCAATCCAAACATTCCATATCTTCGATGGCGTGAATGTGTAGAGTAGTGCCCTCAAAAGTAGCCACTGCATTAGGTTTGCAACTGTGATCTGTTATCGAGACACCTAAATATATGGCAGTAGCTATGGAATTCATTTCAGCGTCAAGTATATTAAAACCATTTGTTATCAACTTTAAAGAAAGACGAGAAAAATTCTCTAAATTACTTGAACGCCAAACGCGACATATAGAGCAAAACCTTTGACTTATGTTAAGAAACACGACAAGAGCCACATAAATTCAAATAGCAGAGAGATTGCTTAGGTGCCTCTAAAAAAAATCGTACTTTTTCTTTTTTACCAGTTGGACTTTTGCCAAAAAGAGAAACAAAAAAAAAAAAAAAACAAAAATAACTGAAAATTTCCGTGCGCCAGGCTAACAAAAGTTGCCGTAAAAACTTTATAGAATTAAAAATGTTTTTTACGATCCATTATTTTTTATGCAATTACCTACCCGACCATGTATGCCTAGCAATTCCGCTGGATTTGGTAAAACTGTATCATTTTGCATCATTTCATTTAATATAACGTATAATGATTCCAAATGCTCTACACGCTTGGGATCATGCTTAATTTCTTGATAATCTATAATGAGATTGAATCAATTTTTCGTGTATATATTGTGAGCAGGAGCAACCATCAACTTACGAGACATTAAATCTCTAAATTTCCGATAGCAAGTTGGCGTGCAATAGCCTCTGATTAAATCACCGCCGTTGTCAAGTCTAATTATCAAACGGCATAGCATGCGGGCGGCGTCCGGAACAATACGAGGAAAAATACGTTTTAACATTGGACATTCGATTTTATGCAACGGCCAGGCCTGCATTTGACAAGCTCGATTACAATAATATACATAATTACAATTCGAACATTTCATTACTTTGTTTCTATTATGCGAATAATAACAGAAATAAAAAAATAGAAGAAATTATTGCAATGTTACAGCCTAACGAATAACCTGAATGCTTACTGATTCAAGCAGTTGTCACATCGTTCCTTCCGATATTTTGATTTTAAGACATAGGCGAAAGGCTTTTCGGTTAGTATACGTTCACCTCGTTTGATTGCTTTGGGCTGCGTTGACTTCATTCTGCCTTTAACTTTACATTGATTATTGCTGCCTTGTTGGGATTTTAAAGTTAAAGTTTCAAATTGTTTTATCAAAAGCGGTGAAAATATTCTATGCGATGGCATTTATTATTTAATTAATATGCTTTCCCCGGATAAGCACTAAATAAATGACGATAAATTGTTTTACCTGTAAACATCCTCAAATTCTTATTATTCTTCGTTTTCATTTGGTAACACAGAGAGCACTTCATTTGACTGTTATTCTCTTTTTTTTCTCTTCAATGTTTCTTAGAAGCGTTCTATTAATAGTACCGTTCTAAAAATCATTTATGTTTTGGTGAGCATTTAAGGTAAAATCGCATATATAATTTTATATGATATAAGATTAAAAATTCGCATAAGCGCCTGTTTTATGTTCAGAAGAAAATGTAGTAGCTTTTGTATGTTCTGCTCACGTTTGCATACAGAAGTACAGAGTTAGAAGCATATTTTTAGCGATACGGAACAGCACAAAAATAATTCTCTCAGATATTTTTTGACTTAATATTTAGGAGAGAAAAGAATAAAATGAAGAGATATGTTAGTAAAGCACTTTGTTATAATAAATTTTAAAGAATACGGAAACTATTAACAATAATAATTCCCGAAGAGTGTTTGTTTAAAATTCGTGTTTATCGTTGTATTTCTTTGGCTAAGGCTGATATTAGTTTGTCTATAATTTTGCATTGATATTTTTATTTTAGGATTTTGCATTTTTCATTTAGGGAGAGCAATGGAATAGTATAAAATTGTTTTTGACATGGAAATACAGAAACGCTTTTAATGTTTAATTTTCATTTATCCATAGTTTTGCATATTTATTCCTTATGTTTTCATAAAAAGTATTGCGACAAAAGCTCATCTTCCATGGTGAACAAAAGAAAAACAAACCGTAAGAAGTTTATATAAATGTGTAAACAGCTGTTTTAGGTTTAGGGTTTAGAAACACCAAATTCTTTTTCTATATGTGGAAAAGAGAGCACTTGATTATGTGGATATGGGGAATATAGGGCTGTTTACATATACAAAAGCTAAAAGTTATGAAGCAACAATTACTCTAAAAAGATTGTCAAAACTATAAAAGCGCATTTGGCATTTTATAATATATTATTTAATAAATTTAAATATATTGTAGCAGCCTTTTAATACTTTAAGCATCAATTTTTTTAGTTCTTATTTGTTTTTATAGGTAACAGAGATGCATTTCTGTAGATTAGTGATGTTGAGAAGTGCGAGAGAATTTATTAGACATAAAAAATCATAAGAGAGATCTGAGCGAAATTCCAAGTTTTTTACTCTGGGGTCTAGTGATGATAATAAGTGCAAAACATAAACATACAATTTACTTTGCGTGGATGTCGTACGTATTAATGGCTGTTATATGGCATAGTGTTTAGTGGTATATTAGTCGTTTTAGTCTTCACTTTCATTCATCTTTGATAATACGAGTACCGGTCAAATTACGCGTGACGAACCGTGTAATCTCGCTTTTCTTTTCTGTTTTCTGAAAGAAAAGTTTAAAAATATAGTGCAAATACGAAATATATATATTTTTTAAATAAAAGTGTACATTTAAATGAAACAATGTATTTAATGTAAAAAAGTAGAAAATTATACATGTGCGTTTGTGTTTGTTTTATGTGTGTCAGTGCGTGTGTGGATTACGTGTGACACCACCCCTAAGGAAAACAGATACAAACAAAATTGATTTAAATTTCTTGCAAAAATGATTGGATTATATGGAATCGGGATCCCTTTAAAGTATACGAAATTGATTGCCTTATCTGTCAGAAAATAATAAGAAAAAAGGAATTAATGATTTAGAAAAAATGTTAAGATAAATTTTGCAAGTGAAAACTTTCGCCTAACTAACCCAAACAGTATGCTACAAATTCATAGAAAAAGCTTTGGTTGTTGTTGTCTATTACATTGTTAAACTTCTCTTAATAACATGCATCTCAACTCAGCAGCGAAATTTTAACTGTGCAAAAAATGATAAACAAAGAATTAAAAAAATTGAGAAAAGGATATATTTAAAAAAAATCACCAAATATTTGAAATTAAGTATGAGAAAAATGAGAAAATCAGTGAACAATTTATAATAAAAGCTAATTATGAATGCAACGACGACATGGTTTTGCGCACCGTTTGTTTTACCAACACGTTTACAATCGCTAATGAGTATAATAGTGGAACTTGCAGCGTCAGCAACAACAATAGCAGTTATCCAATTCCCTAACCTGCATAAAAAATATCCTACTGCTGATAGCAGATTTAAGAGTTTTTATAATATCAGAAACAGCTACCAATACTTATCATTTTTCAATGCTAAAATCACTCTTTTTTAGACGGTTTACTTCGCAAAATTATTATTTTGATTGTTGACGTTCTTGTTGTTGTTCATGTCCTATACTCTTGCAACGTCGTTGTGCTCTATCTTTCTACTAGAAAACAAAATGTCCTATACTTAAGATAAATTGTGCGTGTGGATGAATTTCGTTGCAACCAGGTTCTACTATTATGTTCATATAATATTATTGCTCCCTGCTTTAAATTACATGCCACAACGACAACGACAGCGACAACAATAATGGTTTTAAAACATTTCATCCTTTACTCTTGTGGCCTCATCTTGCTGTAAACGATGCTAACACAGTAAGTTCATTTTCTTCAACAGTAAGTTAACTCCTGGCAAACAATACGTCTTTCAAGTCTACACTTTTTTCACACTTTATGTATAAGCTGACATTTATTGTTGTCCAGTTATTGTTGTTGTTGTATTCAAGATTTATTATGCATTTAACAACACACCTTCACAATTTTTTTGCCTATATAATGGATGCATTATTAGATTTCCATTTCACAAGCATTCACGGATAACTGCTCCTGCCGATTATTCCTTTAGTTTGACTTTTTATTCGTTCAGATTTGGATGGATAAAAAAAACTTTCAATTTTAGTTTTAATCTTACTGGCATTCAACTAATTAACTCTTTATCGTTGGAGTAAAGTGCCGGGAGTTTGTTTGCTTATATGCTTCCGTTTTGTCTTTTCCCATTTCTTTTTAATTCTCAGTTTTCTTTTTCGAGTGGTCGTTGTAAAGATTAACCCTAATTGGTTGCTGATGAGGTGATTAATTAAGTTTTAGAGCCAGTGTTGCTTTCTCAATCACAATCATATTACTTCTTATAGCAATGCGAAGCGTATATTTGCTCGCTCATTATGAAAGTTCTGCATTTAAACATTGCTTTCTTTTTCTTGACGTTAGTTAGCGTGTGCGAGTTTTGGCTTTATTTCAAGTGAAAGATTTGTAGTTATTGTACCGCCAATGCTATTTTGAATTGTTCCTTTCTCATTGCTTTCAATATCAAATGAGTTTAAAATATTATAATAAGAAGAAGGCGAAACTAATTTTTGTTTAATTTGAAACTCGAACAATTTTCCTAAAATCAGTTTGGATACTGTTAAAGCTGTGCAAAGTGTAAAGTGCAGAAGAAAGTTATCTTGACCTTAATCCAAAATCATCTCATGGGGGGTATTTCAATCTCCAAATTGTTTGACTCTCTAATAAGAGATTAAGCCTCAAACTATATTATAGACACACTTTGACTACAGTAAGGATTAGTAAAGAGCTCTTTGAAAATAGCCGGATAATCGATTCGCATTGAAAGCATTATTAAACATAATTATGTTAAATATTAAAAAAAGCACACTCACATCTCGATCGAGAATTGCCAAATTCTATAAATATAATGATATCAGTAATAGACGTATTCTGTCTAATTACAACGAGATGTCACAAGTAAAAAATCAAACAAGTTTTTTTCGCATTTTCGTGCTTCGAGAAGGTAAGAGGGATTTTAAGAATATTAATATAAAAATATACATCATTCATATTATTATGATATATATTACATGCTTCGATGTAATATAAGGCGAATATAGACATATAGACTTAGGTTCTAACAAAGGCTTTTTTGAATTGCTAATTAATCAATTAGATGCAGTAAAGCTTATTACAGCATTTAAGGCACACAAGCAATTCATTTAAAGTTGTCTGATTCCATTTGCGTGCAATATAGAATTAAAACAATATAGAATCGAACAATCGAAATAACTAACTCTTCACACTTTGTGGACGCATTCATTGACAACTTCAAAGACGATCGGCCAAAGGCCAATAGGTAGTCAGTAGTGCTGTTGACGAGTCGGAAAGAAAACATAGTCTGCTCAATACACATATAAACATATATTTTTCATAAATTTGTTTTTCTTTTGGCCGCTTAAACTAAATTTGTTTTTTATACCTTATATCATTTGTGGCACAGTATATGTTACACTGAAAGGGAGACCCATCTTTTATTATATCGACCGATTCAGAAAGTGATTCTAGGGTTGTCTGTCCGTCTGTCCGTCTGTCCGCCTGATGTTTGTCCACGTATTTATGTGTTCAATCTACAGGTCGCAAATATTTGAGATATTTCGATGAAATTTGGTAAGTTGCCGTGTTTTTTGGTCCAAGGACGAACACTTTTGAAGAAAGTTAGGAACGAACCACTACCAATATAACGCTTTATTTTGATAAGATTTGATATGAAAAAAAATTATAATTCTCAGATTTTCGAGACAAAAATCATTGGGTATTGCCATTGAACGTCTTGAAGTGCAAACACTTCTACGGCGACAAAGTCTAACTTGTAGTTTTTTATGATGGAAAGAAGTGGAAATTACGAAAATCTCTGGCAAGTAAATTGAGCTTGCTAAATTTGGGCCAAGTCATCTGATGTTTTGAGTATTCTCCAATGTGAGGGCTTTCACGAAAATTATGCTATCGTATAAAAATAATGTATAATTTTTATTGTATTATTACGAAAATTAATTAAATACGGGTTGATTTCGAAAAATTCAGTCGTAGGTTGAGCTCTCAGCCATTATAGTTCGGTATTTGCGCTTTATAGGGTATGTGCAAATTGAAATTTCATTTTATTACGTTGCTTACTATTATCGCACTTATCAGCCGCATGCTATCAGTCAGGGACTTTTATGATGAAAACGATCTCATTTAATAAACATAAAATTCTTTCATGCACTTTATGCTCCTGCACGTTTTCGTTAAACCGATTGGCAATGCAATTTGTGGTTGGGCAATGTGTGCGTGCGCGGGTATGTTATTACCAATCAGTTTGCTTTATATCATAAATTATCGCGTTTAGTTAGCAAAATATGTAAATTTTTTCTAATTAAGTCGGAAAATTCCGACTAAATTCAATATTATGCTCCATATATCATTTATTGGAATCGAAAATTCGAGCCTTTCGTAATAAAGTTCAAGTTATCGTTTATAAAACAGGTTTGCTAAGTTAGAAATATGTGAGGCTTATTCTACGCACACATGCACACACACGCACTTTGATATTCATATATTTTTGGGGATTGGTTTCGAATCGAATCCCTTAAGAAATATAAACTTTTGCGATGAAAGTCGAATGTAACTCAACGATATGCATACATATATAATGCAAAGTTAATGCAAAGACATAAAAATGCGTATGCACGTATTAAGTTCTTGTATAGCATGGAGAGAAGTGCGCAGGTAACTCTCCTATAATACGGTAAATACAATTCTACAAAGTATGACATTGTGCGAAATCGTTTTATACGAGACCAGAAGTCAATAGAAAAAACGGGATTAAAAAGATTTTTTTTTTTTTTTTCTTCAAAATTTCTTATAAGAAAATGTACAATATTTTTAATCTCAATATAAGTTACTTCATCCCTGTTAAGAAATAAAAACAACAAACATATATATATATATATATATATACAATATATTATTTAGTTTCATTTAATGTAAACTTTGTTTAATAATTTTCTTCGTCATTGCTCGCTCAGTATAATTAAAGGAGGGCGTTAGTTTGATTGAAAAATATTATCTTCATTTTGTGAACTTTCCGCTAAATGTTGTGCGTCTCCTGCCCTTTCGAAAAGATCTGCGTATTTGCTTGACATGATGATAATCAATTCTCTCGTGTCGTTTTAAATTTCACGCTCCTTTCAGGCGAGCACTCATCTGCACTCACGAAACTTTTTGTTAAGCTTAAGCCTTCCCGTAATTGTTCAAGTGCAAAATTATGATTTTCATCATCAGTTTCTTCATCACAAGTTTAATTTCTCCTCCGATATTGTTTGTTCATGGTGAGTAATGTGAAAAAATCATGCTATCGCGATATAGAAATAGCGCCGTATTATAAGAGGCCTGTTGCAATTTTTTTTCGTCATAAAATGTTATAGGAACGCTACCTTAGTAGTGTCTCTCTAAATACTATCACATCAGTTCCGTAAAGAGTTTGAATTTAAAGCAAGCATAATATTGCTTCGGATTTTCTGCTCGCTACACAGAGTGAGTCATAAATTAAAATTTTTGGCACGTAATGTTCTGTTATTACAGCCACGCTACGAAGTATTGGAAAGGAGTGCATACATATATAAACACGCATCGAATGAGAAAAGTTATTGCGATACCGATCAATATCATAGGGAACGAGATGAGGTGGTAAATACTTCAAGAGCTGAAGCTGAAAATAAGGTTGAAAATGAATGTTGCGAACGAATAGTGCCAATTAGGATATCAGAACAACTGTGATGGAGAGCCGTTAAGCCCTTAAGCCGTTATTAAGTAAATGTTGGAGGTTCCTTGCAATTCAAATACGGAATCAAGATGGTCGGTCATGCACGGCTCATACCGAGAAATGAGTAAAATTGCTAATAGTTTGAGCAGATAGCTAATAAAGAAAGATAAATATCTGATCATCTATTCTCAATGATATATATAAATACCTCATCAGCTATTCTCTTCCTTTAGGACATGGAATTCACCTACATATTATACTTGACTCTTTGTGCCCTCTAACCTTGGTGGCATGCATGACTTCCGCTTGACTTCGTAAGTTTCAAAAAAATCAGCTTGCAACGCGATGTATATGCATACATGGTGATGTGGCTCAAAGAAATTGAAAATAAAATTGGCAACATAGAAATGAACGACCGTATGTATATACGCTTAAGAATTTATATACAAAGCATTCATTTTCCTTTTTTTTTTTATTGGATTTCGTTTGTAAAATGTTATTAAATAAAGTTATACTATGTGCATATGTGTAAGGTAGCCAATAATTGTTAATTTGTATTACATACAGTGGCGAGCCAAACTGGATATGTTATTTAAAAATAATACGTTAAATGCCCAACAACCATCAATCTCCGTCCTTATGGCAGTAGAAAAAAATTCGACATAAAACGTTAATCCTTACAATCTAATCAACAAACATATTCAAGATAAGGATAAGAGCATGCTTATCAAATGCCTTCATTTATCCGGTTCTGCATTTATTAGTGTTTTGTATTACAAATTTTACATACGTTGGCATGCTTTGTATTGTTTCGTTCATTACATTTTGCCATTCTGCCTCACTTCTAATCCCAAGATCGTTAAGGATCGTTTTTCGATTGAATTTAAATCAGGACTTTGCGTTGCCCATTCTAGAGTTTGGAAATCTTTTAATCATTTCTTTTAATCATTTTTGAGCTATTTTTAATCGTCGGTTTGCGGTCGTCATCATACTGGAAAATGCTTTCTTCAATAAGATAGCCAGACTTTTCAATAAAATCATTCTAATTTTTTCTGCATGCAGCAGTCCGCCAAAAAAATTGCGTTTTTGCGTTGTACTCTTATCGGCAGATTTATTGGGACGCATCTGTCTTTCTTGCTCATTTCATAACTTTGTAAAGCTCGTTAAATGTTCTTTTTAACGCTTATTCAGGCTTAGTAGGAAAATGAGCAAAATCGGTCCACGCATCTATCATAGTTGCTATATAGGCCATAATTTGCATTTTTTTTTTTTCAATTATGATTTTGAAGTTGTAAAGCCTGCAGTTCAAACCTTGCGGTCCAAGTGTTTTCCTTAATGAAATTCCCTTCTTCAATTGCATAATTTTTATATCCTTTTTTAGTCAACTTCGAACCTCGAAGTTCTCAAGATATATAATTTATTTTTCATATAAATTTAAAAAAAGGAAGGACGAAGAAAACTTGCTCTAATTCCCATCAGAGATAGTTAATCTCTATTGCGCTTGTGCCTTACTTTGAGGTAAAGCATAACATTTATGATTGGCATTCTATATAGAATTCCAATCATAAAATTTAATTAAATCTATATGTAGATCTACCTATATAGAACGCCTTAAATTTTATGCAGAATTTTTTGAATGATGACAAGTTTTTGCTTTGCGGACAAAAATATTCACGCCAAATCGCAAACATCGAGAGAAAAAAACAAAACTTAAAATAGAGCGAGACGGACTGAAACTTGTCTTACTAAAACGTGTCTAAATGAAAAAAGACAATAATTAGTTATATTAGTAATCTAATTAGTGAATTAATTTTTCTTCTGTTTTTCTTTTTTTTTTTTGTATTAAGCAAAGCAGAGTCTGCGTTGCATTGCCTTCGAAGGTAAAGCAAGTTTTGCGAAAACGAAGCCAAGTTAGAAATGCAAAGTTCTCTATAAATTCTGTATGGTCTTTTTATAATTTGAGCTCTTTATCCGAATTCTGGATGGAGTTCGACAAAAATATCGCTGTTAATAAATATAACGTTTTTTTCTTTATTGACCACTAAATAAAACATTGATACATATTCTCTCTGTTAAGCGCTCGATATCTGGATTAAGCATAAAACCGTTGCATGTTCACTTTATTTAACGAGATTGTTTCGCAAACACTTTGCAGCGCTGGCAAAACGTTTATTGCTTGTGTAGCCTTTAAACTCGTTCAGACTAGCATCCACAATGCGCGCACATATGCAAACAAGCTTCTGTAAAAGTGCGGTTAACACGGTTTATACCTTTTATGAGTAAAAGTTCAAGTTTTAGATATGTATGCACATATAGTTTTTAGGGAAGACATAGTGGTTCTGTTCATATAACTATAGATCGACATGCAAACGCACGCATAGCTTTGCATATGACAATATATATATATATATATATATATACGCTTGTAAGACTTTAGAGTAAATCTTTTGGGCCATCATTTACAATCCTTCCCATTTTTTTGTTACAGACAAATTTATCTCTTGCTATAGCGACTCACACTGTAGGCTCAACCGTGAAAAGCAAAACGTATGTGAGATAGCGCGTGAGGTCATAAATTTGTGATTTTCTTCTTTTCCTTTTTTTGCATTTTTCCAAGAGTTAACGCTGCTTATTTTTCTTTTCGGTTTAAATTCGTTTATACATAACCACGAATTATCCACAAGAGCATTGACATAAGAGCAACTTCAAAAGATTAACATTAAAATATGTAGGAGCGTGCCGCATTATCGCATTTTTAAAACACTTGCATGCATTGCTGATTATCGAAAAACTTAAAGATTTCATTATATACTTAAGCGAAACTCGAACACTAGATCTTGCACTTTTTACACACAAACACCAATAATAGATTCACAAAAGTGTGGAAGCGGAGATTTTGAAACATTGAAACATAGAAGCTTCTCCCTCCTTCTAGGCTATTACGTTTATTATATTTGGTCCTTTTTTTTTTGTCTTTGTTTAAAATAACTGAAACGATAATATTGGAAGCGCAGTGAATAAAATGTGAAGCTATAAGAATATAGTTATCGCATATAATGTTAATAAATTAAATTGAATAAATTTTAAAAATTATTTCGTCATTTTATAGTCATAGCCCTTTTCAATTTTCGCTGGCATTCAAACTAATCAATGTACATGTTGAAAAATGCTATTCGGTGTAGATAGTTTCGGATTACGTTACGATAATTTTTTTTTATTATTAATATAACCAATAACGCAGGAGATGGCCCATATACATATTTTACAGCGATGGTCAGAAGAAAGCGGGATATAAGGAGTAGTCGAGGATGTGTGTGCCCGATCGACAAGCACTCATTATTTCTATGATTACCCGCCAGCCTGGTGCGTTTGATTGGAAATAGAATGTAAAATTAAATGCTGAAGAAATGCAAATACCTGTAAGCATCCATGTTTGTTGATTGTAAGATACATTACATTATTTTTAGGTAGACCACGCCCATTTTTTATTGCTGGTATCGAATTGAAGTGTATTTGAAACATTTCAGCTTTTTATCGTAGTTTTTGGGCGCGTAAACGTCTCAATAAACATATGCGGTTGATGGACGGATTGACAAAAGGATATAGTAGAATCTTACGCTGCTAAGAACACATATCGTTTATATGTACATTTAATTTTCTTGTTACACGACAGGTGGGGATGCGTTTCTAAAAAGTTCGTGCAAAAAAAATCGTGTAAAAACGATGCTGGCTAAATGGAAAAATTATAGGCTGGCTCCAGATCTAAAGAAGCAATTAAAAACGCCAACAATGACCAATATTAAAAAATTCTTATTAGAGAAATTCTAATTGAGAATTTATTTTGTGCTTAAACATTTTGATTCCTTAAATATATTATAAAAAATAAAAATTTGCATAAAAAAAATACATTACGTCTTTAGTCTCCGTATTGATTCGGGTAATTCCCGCGTATAATCGACATAATCCAACTGAATTGTGATAAATGTAACGCGAACTTACAATGCATATCTGCGAAGAGTGAGTATGAGAAAATTTATAGAAACATGCAAAAAAATTCATTAAAAAAAGTTCAGGGAAAAAGATTGATCGAGTATTTGAAATCATATTAAAAGAAAACAATACGCGTAAAAGGAGTATCAGGTGTAATTCTTAGGTTTAATGCGTCATGTCTTCGGTGGACTCGGTTCGGTTGACTGAGTAAAATAGAGCACGGTAACAAAGTAAACCTACTTGTAAAGCAGCAGCACGCATAGCTGCTTAAATGTCAGCTACAATTTGCCATTGAACGTAAATTCCTTTTAATTCAATTTTAAAGTAATTTTTCTATCGGCGAATGGAGAAAGACATTAAAATTAGTGAATCAAGTGTGGATACGATGCCGTGTGACGGAGGGGGAGAAACTTGGTGAAAAGAAGACGAGATGACTTTCGACATCTTAAGAAATTTATTAAATAAAAAGTTGAACGCTGTGTCTAATTAAATTAGCGCTTATAACCTTGACGAGAGAAGAGCGACACAACCTTCACTTGAAACCAGCTGCATAAGGATGAAGCATACGAGAGAGAACAAATTCTTATATTCTCCTATATTATTTATACGTTCATAATATATATAAACGTACTTTAACATGCATATACGATCCTCTATAGAAAGTGAAATGTGAGCCGCTTCTTGTTATTGTTTTTGTTATGCCCACTCGAAATTACTAAGTTTATTCATTATACGCGCTTAAACACAACAACATAATACACGACACAAAACATCATTTGAGACAACAAGTACACTCGACGCTACTTATTTAATCCTCCTTGTTGTTGTAAATTTTGCTATTTCTATCGTTGTAATATAACATTTTCCTACCGTATTCTTAATAAGTGTATCAAGGTGATAATAAAAATACATTTATTAATTCGTGTGTTGGCGAGGAGGGTTAGTTTGTTGTTGCCAAGTTTCCTTTGTTTTCCTTTTATATAAAATTATTGCACTGAAAAGTTCGCGTAGTAGTAACAGAACTACATTATGCTACTACCACATTTCGAAATTTCATCTGTCATACAAACATACAAGCACACTTACCACATCATCATCATTATCATCATGACCATCATCATCATGTTTCGCAAGTTTTTAAAATTTAATTGAAATAAGTACTAACCGAAAGGCATAAAATAAAGTTTATTTCTTGGGACTTGGATGAATGAATGGATGAAATAATGCATTTACTACTACGGCCCATTAACCGCAACGTGCTATCGCAAAAAGTTTATGATAATCTGCATACGTATTAATAAAGCAAAGGAAATTGTTAAATTTGTCCTCTCCCTTGTAAGAAGCAGCCGTATAGTTGAGGATGTTGAGGATGAGATCGTTGTTTACCTGAATACTCTCCATCGAGTACAGCCTGCAATTGATAATAT